TGCTTGTCAAACATGTTTGAATCATCCCATTTATTACCAGCTCCAACCGAGTCACCAAACCTGCTCAAATCACCACGAGCGAACCGATCAAAACCAACTGTACCCGAGTTATCACTTATCGAACTATAAGTTGCAGCTGCATCCAAAGTGAACTGTTGAACTTCCAAGATACATAATCAATCCTTACATTGTTTCTCCTTCAGCATCCAAACAAAAAAATGACATAATAAAAAATCTTGTTGCGATCCAAAAGCAAAATCGAGTTTGTTTAAACCTCGCTTTAATAACCAATTTGGACCTCCCAAGAAACTGCTAAAAAACCTTGGTTTTGATATTATGTGAAAACTCAAATCCAGAAAAATCACAGACAGAAATGGAAAATTCACTATAATTACTTGTAAGAAGTTACAAATGATATGTTTGGACCACTAGCTAATTCGATAATTGGTCAATTTCAATATGTGTTGTACACCATATATTTATAACCAATGAATCTCTAACATACTAGGAGAATTAATACATGAATAGTTTAATATGAGGTAAAGTCCTAATACAATGGGTAAAATCAATAATGGAGAATTTAGGATGAAATGTGAGTTAAATTCACCTTGGATTCTTTCAAGACATCTTCAAGTCTACTATCAACTCCCAATACTCCTCCAACAATATTTACAATCAAATACTCAATAAGAATTCAGGGCACAACTCAATTCTAACAGTTGGTAATCATCAGCGCACATTCGTTAACGATTACCAACATAAATGTCTATAGTAATGTTGTCGAGTATTATCGATACTACTTCAGTCACCAATGACTTCCTCAGAAAAAAATACTCTTCCTATTCTTCACTTTATGAAGTACTAACATATAAGCTAAAATATCCATTTATTCTTTCATTATAATATTATCGACCCGTGAACTATTTTTAAAAATTTTTGTTTTCAATAAGTCTTTGATTAGTACTTAATTTTTTTTTATTAATTTATTTATTGATGAATTTTTTAATGAAAAGTAAATTTGTTCAACTATTTAAGTTTTTATTATTATAACTAAAAGTTGTTCTTAATCGTTTATTATTTTTCTTATTTTTATTAGTTAGAGATACATTTTTCAATCATGCTTGGCGTACACTTTGGCGTACAACAAGTTCGACAGTTTGCCGCCATTTGACAATTTTAAAAAATAAATTGCTTTCCTCTAATCAATTTTTTTTACAACTAATCAAGTGTCAAATATGATGTACACTTTGGAGTGTACAAATGACACTTTCTTACATTTTTTTATGACAAAACAAAGGCAAAAATATGTAAAAAAAATAAAAAATTGAGTGCCTTAGGTGATCGTCAAATACTTGAATCAGCTCTATTTATGAAGTTTTATGCTATGTTTCATTTCATGATTTGATGACGACATGATTGACAAAAAATAAGAAAGTTCAATTTATGTGGTTGAGATATGTCTTACGTAGATTTAAAGACTTTCATTTTTTAGAGTGACGTTTTATGAGCAGGGCATATCAAGAGAGGAAAAAGTGAGACAAAAAAATTGAAAGTGAAGGTTCCAAAAAGTAAAAATAGTAGGTATCAATTGTCAATTGATTCCTCAATGACAAGCGGAATTGTTAGAAATTAGAATGCAGATAAATGTGGATTTCAACTTTTTGGATAAACCATTAGACTATAGAAAAGCATCAATTTAGGTGTCAACATATAATAAGTCCTAATAAATGAATCATAAATTTTTGTATTTAATTGAACTTGTAATTTAATGATAGAAATGTGCTTGAAAAGGAAAAAGAAAAAGAAATAGAAAGAAAGTTTTTGTCCAATAAGAAACGTAATTACTTGATTGGATAATAAAAATAATAACAAATAGAGTTTTAATGTCACCTACATAGTTATTAGATCAAGATTGGTCATTGACTAGGTTAAAGCATCGAGTCAATGGATTAGTGGTCGGATTGATGGCTATTACTTTAAAATTTATTATAAAATTTCAAATGGACAAATTTTCTCTTTAGAAAAAATTGAAATTGTAAAGTTATTTTGTCACCATTTATTTTTGTGTCTATAAATAATTAAATATTGATATTGAGAAATTATTTGTTAGTTGTTACTCTGTAATTTTGTATTGTATAGATATTCTAATACACTTTATGATGTTCCCATTTTTCTTATGTGCAAACATTTTATTCATTACCAACCGATTTTATTTTAAAGTATTAAACTCATCTTATTTAAAAATAAATAGCTTTTCCTCTAATCAATTTTCTACAACTAACCAAGTGTGAAATATGATGTACACTTTGGAGTGTACAAATGACATTTTTTTTTTATGACAAAACAAAGGCAAAAATATGTAAAATAAAGAAAATTGAGCGCCTTAGATGATCGTCAAATACTTGAATCAGCTCTAATCCTGAAGTTTTAGACGATCTTTCATTTCATGATTTGATGATGACATGATTGATAAAAAATAAGAAAGTCCAATTTATGTGATTGAGATATGTCTTGCGTAGATTTAAAGAATTTCCCTTTTTAGAGTGACGTTTTATGAAGAGAACATATGAAACATCATGAGATTTAAAGACTTCCTTTTTTAGAGTGACGTTTTATGTGCAGGACATATCAAGAGAGGAAAAAGTGACAATAAATTCATCTTATTTAAAAATAAATTATTTGTTACAGCTTCATAAAATAATTGTTTGATTTAACAAAAACCGAGCAACGTGGAGAACTTGTTCAAGATTCAATGCCCGAGTTTAAGAAAATAATTATGGGTCTGGTCTGTCTGGATAGATTGGGTTCCGATCAATTCAGGCCGGATTTTTATGATCAAGTGGATAAAATTAATTACACTAAAGAAAAAGTAATGCTATATACTATATTAATGAAGATGTAATCAAATGTTGTTCTATTGTACACACGGATGGGTTTTCTTTATACTTCCGTGATGCCGTTTATGGTTAAAACATTTGATTATTCAACGAAAAATTAATTTTGATTTAGCCTATGTTTAAGTTCTATTATCTCAAAAGTACATTTTTTTTTTTAAATTCATTTTCGACCACACGTTCTTCCAATAAAATAATATACAAAATTTATTATTTGTCAAAAATGGGGCTTAAATTTGATGTCAATGTCATCAATGGAGTGTCGTTTATGGTTAAAACGTCCAATTATTTAACAAAAAAATAATCACAAACTTGAATAAAAGATGAAAATTACCACACGCACACACACACATACATACATACATTTAATTACGTAAAATATATTACGTTCTAGGATATGAATTAATGACATTTAAAATGAAATTAGATAAATATTATAAATATTGTCGAATACGTTTTCTTTAATCTATAATATCAAAGATGAATCTTGTCAAATACTTTTTCTTTAATCTTTTGTTTAATCTATAATATCAAATACGATTTTTAAGTAATTAATTACAAATTAAGTTCTCTATATTATGAAGAAATAAATCGGGCTAGTTAATTAATTAGTTGGTATTGATATAGTCATCAAGTTCTGTTTGGATAAGTATTAGATGTGATGCATAATTTCATTACTATATTTTTCCAAGGATTGATACTTCTTACCTTAAAAAAAAAAAAAATGAAATTATCCTATGATGTTTGAATTGCATTTAATTAAAAATTACCCTGCCCTCGTACGTTTCTTGGAAAAATGATCTACTAAATATCGATAGTAAGTGTCGGTAACATGATACGTTAATTCATTAATTGATGAATAACAAATTTAATTCGAATCTTGAGATCCATTATCAACTTATCCACAAATGAATTGATATATCATGTTACGTGTGCTTAACAGTAGTGAAATATGATATTTAGCAGATCATTTCTCAAAAACAACTATGTATTTAAATATATCTATTTTACATAATTTAAAGAGAGGAAATTGCGAATGAGATGTTCGTTAAATTTCTTCCATGAAAATATTATAAAACAACAAAGTGAAAAACGGTTCGTCATTGTTCTTTATTTCAAAGGGTCAATGTCAGCTGGACTTTTTGGTTCACATTATATCATTTTAAAGTAAATAAAAACAAGCAAATATCTATCTCGAGAAGAAAAGAAAGTACAAAAAATCTAGGATAATTCTTAATAATTATTAAAATAACATGAAAAAGGCAAATTTTTTTCATTGTGCTAACCACCCAACCAACAGCATAAATTCACACCTGAAAAAGAAAGGACAAAAATTGATGAAATTATTATATTGGGACCCATATTTGAACCCCCTATTGGTTCTGTCTATTACACTAAAGCATGTTCGGTACAGCTTAAAATTGGATTAAAATTGAAAAATTAGTCGTTATTATTGACTTTTATTAGACGAGTGGGACCCAATAACGATCATATTTTCAATTTTAATTGGATTTTAAGCTGTACCTAACATGCTCTTAACCTTGGAACATTGCAATAAATAATAATTCACAAATATGATATTTTATTTTTCCTTCTCTAATAGTTAGGTGATCTTCTACAAAGTTTTTAGTAAAATTTTTAACAAATCTTGACAAAAATTAATGTATTACGTGATTAAAATTAAGGTTTGACCCGTCGAAAACTTAATAAAATTTTAACAAAATTTTATGTAAGAAGCACTTAGGATGTGTTCGATTGATATTATTAAGGAAATAATGTATCTTATATAATGATATGATGAGAAATATGTGGTTAAAAAGTAAGAAAAAATATTGATGTGATGAAAAATATTATTTTAAAGCTATCAGCACATAATTAATGTTTGTTGAGATTTAAGATTAGGAAATAAAAATTATTAATTAATTATAGTTTACATTTTTGTTTCATATTCTAAAATGAAGAAATGGATTATGACAAGATTATCAAGATTTTGTGATCCTTCAAATTTATTCAAAATCGAAAATAGGATTACAAAATTTTCATAATATAGTAAATACCACGAAATTCGATTTCAAGATTACGTGAACCCTCTAGATATTTCATTTATCAAGCCCTGAAGCACAAGATCTGATGGTGGCGGTGATGGTGGTACTGGTGGTGTTGGTGGGAGTTTTCTTCATCAATTTTGGCGTGAACATGGCGGAACTCCTCCACATTACACGGAATATTAATCGGACCTTTCTGATCAAATCCATATTCCTCCTCCGCTGCCTTAAGCAACTGCATGAAAAGTGGATGGTTAATGTATATCACCGGAATAATAAACTTCTGTTGCTCCTCCCCCTGCCCCACCGTGACTGCTAGGCACCCTTTTGGCACGTTCCTCAATTCCTTCTTTCCGCCGCAGTGGCTGTGGTGGTGGATGTGTGGCATGTTTAGATGAAGATTCAGATGATGACTATTTTTCTCTCCACTGCCCATCTCAAAAAACCAAAAATAAATCAAAAGAGAACCCTTATTTTTGTGTATATACAAACTAAGAAGAAATATTAAAAGAACACAGCAGAAAATGGCCACGGATCTGAAGCCGAGATGGCGAGTATGAAAAGGGTTAAAGAAGAATCTGTTAAGGATTTAGGTATATTGCTCATCCTATTCTATTCTGCAATACATATGAATTGAATGAAGAGGGATTCACAAAGAGAAGATGGGATATATATACCGAGTTTTAGAGAGAGAAAGATGTAGATATATAGAGAGAGAATGAGATTGTATGTATATGTAGGGTTTTCTTGATTTGTACGCGAAGGTATTTTCTAGAGAAGGAAGAAGGTGCCGGGGGAGGGTAATCCGGGAAAATTACTATCTGATTTACAGCCAATCAAAACGGGAATGCGTAGGTAATGTTGTAATTTGGGACCAATTTTAAAGTATTTAACATGTGATATTGACCAAATTATACCCCACTACCAAAATAATATAGAAAACATTAATTACATAAATAAATAATTATAACGTAACATGGATTTATGACATGTTTGACATGACTTTTAAAAAATCGAAAATTACTTCTGAGATTAAATAATTATTTTTGAATACGTTTGCACGATTTTCTAAAATTGCTTTGTGTAGATAGAAATACTTTTAGAGTAAGTTCATTAAGGACCTGTTTGATATGACTTTTAAAAAGTTGAAAGAAACTTTTGAAATTCAAAAGCATCCATCTGATAAATTTTCGCGAAAGTGCTTCTTTTAATTAGAAGATATTTAAGAGGAACTTTTTAAAAAAAAATTAGTTTTCAAACAAAAATTAATATAGTTTATTACAAAAACTTTTCTAAATGAAGTAAAAACAAAAACAAAAGTTATGAAAAACGAGCCCTAAATTCTTCTATAGGAAGCAGAAACAAAAACCTTGCCGGAATGACCTTTAATTTAGGGTTAAGCATGTCAATTACAAAGTCCTCTATAAAGGGGTGTATTTTTTTGAATTTATTCTAACCAAATAAAAAATGGGACCAAATTGACCCTTTCATTTCGCCTATCAACTCTAGTTATCAAATTGAATTTAACTTGATTTTTAATTCATTTTATAATCTACAAGTTGAATAAATAGTAAAGTTATTTACGTAAATTTACAAAAATGGATATTTGTTTTAAATAATCAACAATTACGGCTTGAAATAGAAGGCATCAAAGTAAAGTCAAAAGAGGTATTGTCCCATGGAGGTGCAATTCCATGAATAACGGAAACTATATTCAGGTTTGGGTAAAAAAGGAGAAAAGTACTTATAAATAATACATGCGGAAGTGCTTTCCATTTCGATAAATACTACGTATGACTTCAATTAGGTGTCATTGACTTTATTTAGTTTTTGAATTATTAAAACTATGAAAATTAGGCCATGTTGACATTGACTTTCTCATTATTTTATCCGTTAAATTACGCTCTGTTTGCGTACAAAATCATTTTATTAAAAAAAATATGTGTCTGAAAATGAGTTTGAAAAAAAATAATTTTTTAGAGAATAAGGTTTAAACGGCAATGTAAAATTGGGAAGTGTTTGTTGGCACAAATTTTTTTTTTCTTTTAAAACAATATGTTTGAAAGTAACCTTCTAACATCCCACATCCCATGTTTGGGCATACAAACGTACATAGTACTTAATTTGACGTAACGATGATTCGTATCTTAAATCAATTTCGATAGCTAATTTTTTGGTTAAAATATGTTCAATCGATCATCAATTTTGAACAAACAAATATCTAAGAATCTCTTCAATTATTTGATCAAGCGAACTAGAATTGATTATACCTATAATAGAGAATATAGTCATTAGGCCTGAACATGTATGCGAGTGAAAATGTGTGACCACATCGGCAATATGGGACAACCTTGACCGGATGATGTCATCAAAGCTAATGCAGCCAATAAATGAACGAAAAAACCTTTTATGTGACGTCATCCGATTCGGACATGCATCAATTTTTAAAGCGAATATTTATTGCCTCTTCTTTTTGAAAAATAAAAACTGGGCCGCAAGTTACGCTCCTGATGGGCCAGCCCAGACTTATTTTTGGATTCTGTTCCCATGCTTTTTTCCCGGGATAAAAGGTTAATCATGTGCTATTCAATCATGACCGTTTATTTTCATAAGAATTATGTTAAGTGTACATCTTTTTTGATAATGTGTAGGAATTCAAAAAGTGTTGGATGAAAAAATGTTTTTTTTTTAAGCTGTTCAATCATGTGCCGACACACGACATAATATAAAAAATGATATAAAACAAGATATATAGCATGATTGTTTTCATAAAATCGCTTCAATTGAATCTTGTTTCTCTAGGTTGTCTTGCAACATTGGCAACTCAAACAATGAGTTATTATGGTTAACAAATAAGTTGTTTCACTTGAAGTTAAGCCCATGATTGATACTGGTTTTTAAATTCATCTTCAGCCATGCATTTTTTCAATAAAATAAATTTGTATGTGAACGTATAAATTCTTATACTTTTTAATTACACATTCTTCAAAAATATTACTTTTAACAAAATCTAATTTCGAACGGTCTACATCAAAATAGGGCCCTACATCTTCTTTTCAATGCATTTTAAAATTAATTGGGTTTGTTTGAGCCCAACTTTTTAAAAAAATAGATTCTGTAATAGTAATTTTTTGGAGAATATATGATTAAAAAATAGATTTTTTTTTTGAATTTATATGTAAAATTATTTTATTAGAATAACGTGATTAGAAAATGGTTTTACCCATTCATTTTACTGAAAATACCTTCAGCTAGAAGATTTAAGAAATCTGAAGTCTCAATAATGGTAACATTTCTACCTTAACGTACTCATTTTCGTTATCTTTAGTTGATGAATCCTCGATCATCTCGATACCAATACCCTTAACTCTAATATTCTCATAGTTTAGATTTCTTTAGCAAAATTAGTTTCTTTTCAAAAATGCCCCTTAACTCTAATATTCTCTTAGTTTAGATTGCTTTAGCAAAATTAGTTTCTTTTCAAAAAAGCAAGTGAAGAATTGGATCCAAAGGTGAATGTAATGCAACTTTAGCTTTGCAAGATATATATAAAAATATGTTGATAAATTAGAACCTTACATGGTTTATGGCCGACATNTGATAAATTAGAACCTTACATGGTTTATGGCCGACATGGGCACAAATAATGTGGAAAAAGGGGGTTTCATACGCCACTAGATGAAGATTTGTAATGATATGTTCGGCTAAAATACTGCTTGAATTCTAACTAAAGCTAAGCTATACCTTTATGCAATCCAATTAGGGCTTTTTTTTTGAAAAAAATAAAAATAAAAAATTGAGCTAATATGTAAAAAAAATTATTTTTCACATAAATAAAATTAAAAGAAAAAAAGTAAAACCCAATCAATCCCCCTACATTCGTCTCTGTCAGATAAGATAAAAAGGTTTTGGATTTGAATCCTAAGGGATGCAAAATAAATACATAAATGATAAGATGAACACAAATTCTCCCAAAACATATAGTATGTAAAGTTAACTGCTCAAGTATAGGCTCGTGTCGTTGTATCTACTATCACGAATTTTTACGATAAACATTATTGTCCTATTTGGTACACATTCTTTTAAAACTCATTTTCAACCACACATTTTTCAATAAAATAATATTTTACATCACATCAATAATTTTTTCTTATTTTTTAACCGCATATTTCTCATCATATCACTATTTAAAATACATTATTTCCTTAATAATNTCTCAATAAGATCCATCAAACACACCCTATATGAAGAATTTCATAGGAGCATAGGAATAAAGGAGGCCGGGGCAGGCTAGATGGACCACATCTTTCGTTTAAATATTTTCGATATTTTTTTCCAGTAAAAAAATTAGATAAGTGCAAGCTAAACTTTAAACATAGTAGTTCGTCAAAATGATTTAACAAAAAAGCTACTTGTACAAAAAAAATTTGACAAAAAGTTTGACATACTCTCACATGATGCTGGCCCCCACATGTATAAAAAATTGAAAAAAAAATGTGGGGTCCCCCTAATGTGAGGGGCCGATCAGGGTGTTTGTCACCCTGACCCGGTACAAACAGCACTTCTCATGATTTAAAACCCCGTTATGGGATTTGATAACTTCAAATGAATAGAATCTGCCATGTCTAAAAGTAACATTTACTTCACGAATACGGGTCAAAATTGGTATACAAACAAATGCGGGCCAATGAATGCTCCATTAATAATAATAATAATAATAATAATCAATTAAGTTTAATTCTCAATAAATTTTAAGGGATAATTTACAAATACTCTGCTTTTGTTTAAAAAACACCTGATTTTACAACTTTTAAAAGTTACCATTTTTTCATTAAAAAATTAATATTTCACATTTACCTTCTTTTATAATTTTTTAATATACATCAACTTCATTTAAATTTAAAATTTCAATTTTCCATTAAAAACTAAACATTTTTTACTCATTAATTGTTATAGTAACTTATGTATTACTGTATGTTTGATGGATATTATTAAGGAAATAATGTATTTTAAATAGTGATATGATAAGAAATATGTGATTAAAAAGTAAGAAAAAATTATTGATTTGATTAAAAATATTATTTTATTGAAAAATGTGTGGTTTAAAATGAGTTTTGAAAGAATGTGTATCAAACATGAGCTTACATATATTGTAAAATATTTCCGTTCTTTGTTAAAATTACTTTATGTCACTTTTATTAAAAAAAAAATTAACATTTTATACAAGCGACAAATTATATTACCCGTCTAAAACCACTACATAATACTATTTCTTGTCACCATACGAGTAGAAAATTTGAGTAACATTCATGTTATCTATCTGAAACAAATCCACTTCACTACCTACCAATACCGTTGTTCCGAAGTATAAGTGGGTCTGGCGAACTCAACACAAAAGTTCAGCACGAGTGGACCGAATGTTGATCATTGACCATT